AAGTTACTGCACACTGTACGACATGCTACCTGGTTCTCCAGTCGAAACATGTGTTACGAAGGAAGAAGTTACAGCAGGACACTTCATATTTTAAGGATTGTAGAAGTGATACTCAATGATCAGTTGCAGTACCGGAGGTTATTGATGCAAAGAGGGGCACTTGCGCAATCCCTATTGGATCTTCTGCAGACGGTTTGTGTTGAGTGCGTTCTACGTCATACAGTGTTGATGACTTCTGCTTTCAGCTCTGCGACACTCCTGACCTAAAATCTGACCTGCGGTCGAAGATGTTTACCGCAATGGCTCGCCTCTCGAAGAAATCTGGTTTGTATCCAAACTGTCTAACGCTCAATAACATTGAAATGATTGGTGACCACCCTGTCACCGCTGGAGGTTTTGCAGAGATTTGGAAAGGTTGTGTCGATGGTCAGCTAGCCTGCGTAAAGGTAGTAAAGGTATACGGTGACTCTGATGTACAGAGACTCTTGAGGGTGCTCGCCAAAGCAGTCTTTTGCACCACTTCGCTGACTGTTATTCTCAGGATTTTTTACAAGAAGCAGTCTTGTGGCGCCAACTCGACCATCCCAACGTTTTGCCATTCTTAGGGCTGTTTTATCTGGATCAGAACAAACATAGAGTCTGTTTGCTCTCTCCCTGGATGGATTATGGAAATTTGAGACAGTTTCTCACTGATGTACCGGAACCTATAGACCGTAACGCTCTGGTATTTTATTGCATCTACTGGATTCTCACTGCTGAAGCTCCGTCTTTAGGCTTTTGATATCACTTCTGGCCTCGCATATCTTCACTGTATGAAAATCATTCATGGCGATCTCAAGGGCGTACGTAGTGATGCAAAAAATTAATTTCGAGCAGTTCAGCTGACACATGTTTTGTGGATCAGGCCAATATTTTGATAAATTCTTCTCGGAGGGCAATAATCGCTGATTTTGGGCTTTCTCGCATGATAATGGAGTCGGAGGTCCTTTCACTGTCATCAACGAGCAGCCATTTAGTGCAAGGAACGGCGAGATGGCTCGCACCAGAGTGCTTGATTAAAATGCAGCGAGCCTCTTATGGAAGTGATATCTATTCGTTTGGATCCGTGTGCTACGAGGTGCGTAAGGAATGTAACCCTGTTTATTCGCCTCTCATTCCAAATTTACATCAACAGGTATTTACGGGTCATCAACCGTTCTATCAATGTCTCCATGATGCTGCAGTGGTCTTCGAGCTTATGAAAGGAAACCGTCCTGTTCCCCCGACGCACTGTCCACATTTGACCGACAAAATCTGGGCAACCATGCAAGAATGCTGGCGTGAGGAGCCCAGTGAACGACCCTCAGCAAGCGTACTCCTTAGCCACTTCTCTCCCATGGAAAAGTCAAGCGAGTACGGTCACCCTACGGACAACTGGCCATGTCCTTACCTCTGGAAGAATGTACAATATCCAGAGTTGTGTCCAGCTGGATCCGAGCTCGAAACATTCTTGTTTAAGTCAGGAGACATACCTGATCTCAATCTCGCAGACAGTCGCTCCTTTCTATTTCGGGCTCTATCCCTATTACTCTTCACCTATCCTAACACGTATTATCTTCGGCTTGAAAAGTTATGGATTCATGGAATGTTCATGCGTGATCCATGGAACCAACTAATTGGGCAATTTATGTCGGATTGGGTCAAACATTCAATTATCGGTATCGTCGTTCTCATGACCAACATTGCGTCCTTAAGTCTTCGTAGCGCCTACGATGGACGGAATTCTTTTATATATCGTGCTGGATCTGCTCAAATTCAAATTGCCAGTTATACATCGATCATCTGTAGTCTCGGAGCAATCCAGCTGAAACTTTTACTCTGGTATTTCTCCGGCTTCACTCATCATCCCACCCCCAATGGTTTCTCGTGGCTCTACTTCCTTTTGAACAACTTGCAGCATTCTACGCACGGCCTTGAAGTTGTTTCAATTGTTTATAGTCTTCCGCGTGCTTTATTACTGTGGGCGTTGTCCTGCTCTCTGATATGTTTTCTCTACGAATTCTGTTTTACTTCATCTGGTATCGCTTCTCTTCTCTTCGTATTTTCAGTGCTGCTAGAAATCGCAGTACATAGCATCGGGTATCTATTTCTCGTTGTAGTTTTCTTCGCTCTGCTTCTTGTGTATTAGTACCAGGGAATTAAACGAGCTAGTTTTTCCATAAATGTAGCAATTCGATATTGACCAGCATCAAAGGGTGGCTCGGAGAACAAGGCGCCTAATGATAAGGTTCTATTTGACCCAGAACGTGAGATTTTGAGGGCTGTTTATTTGTATTTGTGGGTCAACAGCTTTTGGCGATAGAGCTCTTCGAGGCTGCAAACCGTTCATTATGCAATAGCCAGTAAATGGAATCTGTCACCCCGCGTTGCGATGTTGATCCTCCACAGAACCACAACCCGACAAGCCTTATTGACTCACAGGCTGTTGAATTAACGCTTTGGGGTATTAGGCCTTGATTAAACTTGTTGTCATCTCGTACAGCCCAGACATGTCCCTTACTTCTTTGCTTGGAAGAACCAAGACTTTTCCGCAAGAACAGCCATCGTATGCTCAAAATTTCTTCGATGGGCCTAGCATCGCAAGTGCAGATGCCCTTCGGGTCTCAAAGCGAGTCGAATGGATACTCAACGACCGTGATGCCTATCGTAGGCTGCTGGCACAGCGAGGAGAGCTTGCGCAGTCTTTACTGGACCTCCTTCAGACGGTCTGTGACACCATACCATAAAACCCTAGTCTTGGCACTAACATCGTGCGACTTAGCTTTGTGACTATCCCGAGGTCACTTCCGAGTTGCGTTCAAGGATCTATAAGGCAATCATCCGTCTTTCAAAAAATTCTGGCCTCAGTCCAGTTTGCCTCACTCTAAACAACATCACAAACCTTGAAGACTTTCCTGTCGCAGGAGGAGCGTTTGCAGACATTCGGAAAGGCTTGCTTGGAGGGCAAGTGGCATGCCTCAAGATACCCAGGCTTCACCTGGGTCAGGATCCCAATAAGCTCTTGAAGGTAATTGAGTTCTGAACGATTGTTAAAAATAGGACCTGATCCGAAATCCAGAATTTTTTGAAAGAAGCCATTCTTTGGCGTCAACTAGAGCATCCCAACGTTCTCCCGTTTCTGGGGCTGTATTATCTCGACTCGAATAAACAAAGGATCTGCTTGATTTTACCTTGGATGGAAAATGGAGACTTGAGACAGTACCTCAGCAACAATCACCTTCAGTCCACGGATCGCATTGTTCTGGTAACTTTTAAAAGTTGAAAATTTCATGCGATCTCAGCTCTAAATAGCCCTCCACAGGCGTACGATGTCGCTCAAGGCCTTTGCTACCTTCATGAAAAAGAAATCATTCACGGCGATCTTAAAGGGGTACGTTCTTTCTTCAAGTTTGCTTCTCCAATAAATGTCAGCTGATCTAATTAAATTAGGTCAACATACTAGTAACAGCATCAGGACGTGCAGTAATCTCCGACTTGGGCCTCTCTCAAGTGATTGGATCTGGGGTCCTGTCAGCAACGTTGACTAGTACTCGTGGCACATTAAGATGGCTCGCGCCCGAGTGTCTGGTGCAGCCTGCTTCTTTTGAAAGCGATGTTTACGCCTTTGGTTGTGTATGCTATGAAGTGAGTCATTCAGCCACCATTGCTAAGAAATAAATACCTACCTAGTTCAAATCAAACCTTGTTTTTCTTTTTTTAGATATTTACTGGACGGTTCCCGTTCCACGATTGTCCCAACGACGCAGCCGTGTACCATCAGTTGGTGTCCGGGAAATGTCCAGCGCGGCGGTCAAACAATTCAGAGTCAGATGCTGACTCGGGACTAAATGATGGTATTTGGGCCATCATGCAGGGATGTTGGAAAAGAGATGTATCTGCGCGGCCAAAAGCCAAGGTGTTACCAGATCAGCTGCTTGTTGCTGCAGATCAAAAGTTTGAGATGAAACCTGCAGAAAACTTGTTTGATAACACTTTTGGCGATTCACTTCCCTATCAACTTTGGAGAAGTATTCGGCATCCCGAGTTGTGTCCTTCTGGATCGGATCTTGAAGAGTTTTTGTTCCGTTCTTGGTCGACGACGGATATTCCCAAAGAGAATGACATTCCACTGTCTGGCAGAAACGAGTCCACTCCCGCTGCCACCTACCTTGATGATCACCCCCTTGTGTCCGGACAATTTGCAGAAGATGTCGACCTCCAAAATGATTTAAAAGAGATCATGGACAAGGCATTGGATGAAAAAATCAAAGATATCGCGGGTACACTCAATTGTAACGGGGCTTATAATCCTGTCACTTCTATCTCGTCGGATGCCCATCACCATCCAATTACGGGATCGAATAATTCGACACCGATGCTTTCATCTGCGCACCAGGTTTTCAATGGTAGACTTTCATCAGGTTTTACTTCACTGCGAGCAAGAAATAGTTACAGTACTAATACGGAACTTTCAGACTCGTTTTTGAACGGATTGAGGTTTTTGCACTAATTCAGGACACTGGATTGATTCTGTCTATTTATTTCACTGGTTCGATACACGGCTATAATCCACTTGGACCTAAAGCAGGTCCTTCTATAGACGCTCAGTGGTTTGAGTAGTCGCTTCGTTTAATCCACTACATATGTGTTTAAAATTTTGAATAGTATTTAATTCTGAATTTGATATACAGGCACGGTTGTTTTTTCCGAGAAAAATTCACTCAACCACAACTTATTAGACCTGGTCAGGAGACTTTTTGAATCTTATGACTACTAGATCTATCATAGATGGTATAGCTATCTATGTCATGAGGCCCTTTCTTTCAAAGAGAACTTGAGGGGGGAAGACTGACTTGGAAGAATTTCAGTATAGGATAATTAAATTTTTTTAAAAAAAGATTCACCTCTTGCGATTCAGATGAAGCAATCAATGCCTGACAATCGACTTATGAAGAAAAAATCATATCAGTCTTTGCAATGCATGACTCAATCCTGGTTCGAACAGGAGACCTTCTGTGAAACTTAGAAAATTTTTCTGACCTTATGTTAGACAGATGCGATAACCAACTACGCCATTGAGCCCGAGCATGTATGCCTTGAGGTAGTAGGAGAAGGCAAAATCAACGAAAGATGAGGAAATAGGCCAGCCTGAATAGAGCCTGAGACACGTACGTGCGGGCTATGCATGTGAACGCGAAAACTTAGTGAATATATCTAGAGAGGGAGGAAGGAGGTGTCGTATGTAAACTTATGAAAATTCAAAAGAAAAGAAAGAAACTCTCATGGTCCTCTGGAAAGATTGACTCAATCCTGGTTCGAACAGGAGACCTTCTGTGCAAATATGGCCACAACCAGTATATTCAACATCCTGGAGGAGCTGTGTAACCTACCTACCTACCTACCTCAATGTTAGACAGATATCGATGCGATACGCTATTGAGCTATACCATATATGCCGTTGACGCTGGCGGGTGGTTTTGGGCAAGAAGGAAAGCAAGTATGGGAATAGTCATTATGATTAGTGTCATGAAGGTGAGGTGGGGGGAAAGTGAAAGCGAAAGGGGGTATAGGTAAGTATGTCAATGAAAGAGTCCATCGAGTAATGTTAGCATTATGAAGACAGAGCGCAGAAATGCAGAATAAAGATAAGTATGATAGATGCAGAAAAAAGATCCCTCTCTCCGACTGGTATATGGGTATAATCCAAAATCACACCATTTTCCCAATGCTCTCTCCAACTCTAACCAACATCTCCACCGGACCCTTGACCTCCTTTTCCTTTTCCTTGGATCGCATCCCACTAGAAGCTCTAACCAAATCCTCATCCCACTTGAGCCCACATTCCTTCTCCCATACCGCGATGACAGTACTTCCTCCATACTTGAAGTACCCCAACTCTTCTCCTTTCTTAATGAGTGTGCCTTTCGGTTTAGCGCCTCCTGTCCAGACAACAGAGCCTACGAGGAGAGCGCCGATGGCTACGACAGCTAATGAGGGGCCCTTTGTTTCGTTGGAGGAGGAAGAAGCAAGTCGGAGATAGAGGATGGAACGGACATTGGATTCGAGGACGGCAAGGTCTTGGTTTATAGCTTGGGGATTAACGGTGTAGTATGTTCCTTGGCCGGGAGATTGGTGGTGGTATCCATATGCCTTTTTGTCTGCTTTACCATCTGCATTCCCGTTGGCGTTTGCATTCCCATTCTCTGGCACCGGCGTCGGCTCGACCGTACTCCCTTCAGGAGACGACCCCTCAAATCCAACCCAGACGATATCCTCTATGATTGCGTCTACGGGACAGTGGAAACGGTGATAGTCTGCTGGAGCGAGACGGAAGATGGCTAGTGAGCCTCCGTTGAACCGCATCGCGAGATTCTCCCCGTCAAAGTCGTACAAAGGAACATTAAGGAGTCGGGGAATGTTGAATACATGACTCTTTACCCAAAACTCTTTCGCCATATCCACAGTAGGGTACACTGTCAACCTCGAGTCTGCCATACTGCATACCCTGGTAGGATCTTCTGGGTCCTGGACAGGCCGTGCACCGGGTTTGAGTTGTCGATAGAAAAACTCGTTGAAAGAGGTGTACTTGTTTATGTCGGGCTCGAGGAGTTCGTCTAGGTTGATATTGTACGTCTTTACAAAAGACTCTATACTCCCCACGCTCTCTGGTGAATCGTATATCTTTCCCTGACGGACGCTTTGTTCCCTAAGAACGTCTTTGACGGTTTTGTTCTTGAGTAGCCAGTTGACCTGGGCATCACCGTGAAAGAGGAGATGCATGCCTATGCGTGCATAGAGAGGCATGCTCTCGAATATGACCTCGTCTGTTGAACGAACGATGACATAGTTTCCTATGTGGTATTTCGCTGCGAGACGTTGGAGGCCTGGAAGGAGGGATTTAAAGGAAGAAGGGAGCTCGACGAGGTTGAGTGCGTATGCATCTGTAGAGTGGGAGATGTCGGGGGAAGAAGTGGAATGAGTTACGAGATGGTCGAGAGCCTTGAGAAGAGCGTCGGGTGAAGCGTCGGGGATGGCCGAGGAAGTGTCGACGGGTTTGTCGAGCGAGTGGAGGTGTTGTGGGGATATCGAGGAGGTGGTCAGACTAGAAAGATGGTCTAGTTTTTCAGATTTGCGTTTGAAGGGATTCAAGAGTCCACACGCCATGCCAGTCAAATCAAAACTCGCCCTTTTTATATTTCTATTTTTAGGGGATGCTATTCTACATTTCCTTTCTCCGTCCTCCTCTTGCTTCCTCTTCTCTCGCGTCCCCAGTCTCGTTTACGCCTCAAATCGCGAATGATCTCAGAACAGACCTCTTTCATGGCCAACAGGATCTTTTCTACTCCTGGAACCATGGGCGGCCCGTCAAACTAACCACTTGGCGTCAGTCTAACGCATACAAGGAGATTTCAGTTCCTCCTCCTGCCGGTGTACGCGATGGACAGTCGTATCGTTTGATTCTCACTGCAAACCTAATTCCATATGTCGACCTAGCCAATCTCAATTCGGTTCCGCTCCCGGTGATGAGCGTACCTATTCTCTTCACCTCCAAGCCTGGAACCAAGACCAAGCAGGAGCAGATTGAGAGGATGTATAGGTTTCCGATCCATGACAAGACTCTTGTGTCTATGAAGATTACTGAGCAGACTTCGTTTGATTTGGACAAGGTGCGTCTTGTTGCTTTTTTTTCATACACGGTCTAATAATACACAGAAAATATGGGACTCGGGAATCGGCTTGTCTTCCTGGCTATCAAACCTCCCCAACTTGACAGACCCGCTCCTAAACCGCCTAAAAGACGCTCTCTTCTCTACAGAACCGAGAAACATTGTCGAGTTGGGAGCAGGAACTGGGATTGTTGCGATTACAATTGGGGCGTTGAGAGCGGGCATTTTGGGTTCTATTTCCGAGTCCGAGTCTAATTCGAGTCGAGACGGAGAAGATGAAAATAACAGTAACATAGAGGGAGGGTCTATATTTACTACTGATCTACGTGCGTCTCCCCGTCTCTTTCTCTAATTATGGCTCAGCGCCACGGTATATTTAGCTTCTGCAATCCCCCTCCTACAACACAACATCTCTTCCAATGCTCATTTATTCCGTCGTCCTTCCCCTTCTTCTCCACAAACCAATTCTTCCCCGAGTCCATCAACATCTGACCTAAAACCTCTCCCAGGGTGTACACCCACGCCCCTAGTTCTCGACTGGGACTCTGCACCTGATCTTCCTCCCGAGATCACCGAACCCAAAACCAGCAGTCGCACAAAGCTGGACCTCATCGTCATGGCAGATGTAACGTACAACACATCGTCTTTTCCTTCTCTCGTGAGGACTATACGCTCTCTCGTCGCGAGAACTTGTAAACTACCCGAGTTCTCCTCTTCTAAAGACGCCGGAGAGGAACACTGGTATCCGACGATTCTTGTAGGTTACAAGCAACGTGATCCGGGGGAAAGAGAGTTGTTTGGGATGTTGGAAGAAGCCTTTTCTTCTACGTCTTCGGGAGCCGTGAAGATAAAGTTGACAAAGGTTGGAGAAGTGCCTGGGGCGTCTTCCAAACTAGAGTCCGGAGAAGGTAGAGGTCCGGTGGAAATTTGGCTGGGGGAGGTAGTCGCCTTGACATAAAAACAAAACTTGTACCAAAATGCATGAACGCGGTTGTTTTATTTCAAATCCTTCCAGGCACAGACGCGACTGTGCCGTGGCGTCCCTCCCCTTATGGTTTTCTGCTGGCTCAATGGCGTAGTTGGTTATCGCATCTGTCTAACATACCCAAGGTTGTAGTTTGCATAGAAGGTCTCCTGTTCGAACTAGGGTTGAGTCACTTCCCACAGAAGAGGACAAGGATTTTTGGGCGTGTCTTATCTTTTATATTTGCACAGAAGATCTCCTGTTCGAACCAGGATCGAGTCACTGGATGAAAACACGCATTGCGATTTTTTTGGTGTATCTTTGTCTTATCTTTTCCCTTCTATAAGGTCGTTGTGAATTTACCTTTCGACGTTTGCTTATTGCTGCGATCGATAAAACTTCCGTCCGAATAAAAGATCCTTTTCTCATCACGTCGACGTAATGGCGCAGTTGGTCATCGTATCTGTCTAACAGATCTTTATATTGGCTAGAGCTATAAAAATTGCACAGAGAGTTTCCTGTTCAAACCCACGATTAAGTCATGATCGAGAAGAACTTGGACATTATTTTTTTTTGAGTACGTATCTTGTTAGCGCAATATTTGCCTTTGGACTCTACTTTTCAAAACTTGCGAGCCTAGTCGACTAACTGCGAATGTTCTTGCTAGAGCTGTAAGGACTGCACAGAAGGACCCCTGTTCAATGGCGTAGTTGGCTAGTACATCTGTACAAAATCGTCAGTTTCAAAAGGTAGGGTCTCCTGTTCGTATCGGGATCGATTCACGTCATGAAGTCCACTTTTTTTGTACGTGTAACGCAAGTGGATTGGTTATCCTCGAGGATCGTTTGATAAATTCGTGCTCGAGTATTTCACTCAGTATTGAACGAGTGACTTTTTATCTCGTATCTACTATGCAAAGCTTTAGTGCATAGCAATATACTTATTCGAGATTATTCTGCCAAGTGTAAAATTTTTATGGCACTTACTTCGGTAAGGATATTTCGACTTGAATTACGTTTTTAGATATATGCAAATCCTTATTATCACCCTGTAGGAAGGGAAGATGATAAAGACACTTTAGAATACTATGTGAGGGCGACACAGATACATAGGCTTTGCGGTTAAGACCCCTATTTGAAACAATACCGAAGACAACAAATTTTTTTACTCCGTATAGACTTTGTACTGGTAGTACATATGCGTAGGTATCTTAGTACTACGTGTTTGCGAAAAACCATCCACTGACTGCTTCAAAGTTCCGAGGATTCGAAGCACAAGACAAACTTGTAGATACGCCGTGGCTCGAAGTCGAAAGATAGAGACATACTTAATCACCAACATGAAATTTTTATTCCTGGGTTATTTAGATTTATTGAACAGACTCCCTTTCGTCTCTTCGTCGGTGATCGCAAACAGTAATCATTTAAGATACGTTTGCTTTTTTTTCAAGCTGCTGTGGCGCTGTTGTAGTCAGTTTCTTCGATGATTGATAATTGGCCTTTCTTGATTTCTGTTTTATTCTATATCTATGCGGAGCAATAGTACCAATCGGTTTGATACTTGCTATGTAACACAATCACAGTTTCGTGGAAAGTCTCTTGTTCAAACCAGTATTGAGTTACAGTGACAAGATCAAAATTACTTGATTTTTGATGTTACGTTGAGTCGTGTGGTATATGTAGACTTATCAAGTTCTGCGCCATCATGATCGTTTAAAGTCTTCCCAGCCTATGTACTTAGTAAGATATCTGGTTTACCTGTTTATTATTTTCTTTAATTATACCAATGCCAGACATATCGCCGCCGACGTAACAAACCTATGTAAGCACATTTTCGTAGTAGCAAGGGTATAGATACATTGAACTGATGTGTGTCATTGTACGAGCGCTCGGACCTTCAATTCAGATTCCAGAATTCTCTCACTCTATTTTATACATAGCAGGTTTGGGCCGAGCGAGACTCTGAATTGCATGTTCGCCGTGCTATACTATCCTGTGTGACTTCCGCACCCATTTGCTTTCGCCGTCGAGTTGACGACCAGAGGCTCAAGTCTGGGTCTTTCTACCCCAGGTTTAGGGAGACTAGTATTTACTATAACCAGACCAAAGCTAACTACAACTAGTCGTTGACAATTCCAACCTAGGGTCATTTGTACAAAGATTAAAGTCTTATACACAACTGCCTGCCAGTGCCAAACTTTACTGAAGTATTCTAATTCACGTTCCCTAACGATCAGGCCCGGAAACTTCATGAAAACTCGAACCTGACTACTGTTCATGAAGACCAGCGAGCTTCGAGCGTTGTCCTCCGCGTTGTCATTGCACTTTTCATTCGGGACTTTTCTCCAAGACGGATAAATTTACCGTGACTCTCATGGCATCATCAATTCCACCGTTTGTATCATATGTGGTGATAGAAGCTCTTCCCTTGTTATCTTCTAATGGGATTTGTATAACATCGAGCTTAATTCGGGGATGTCGTGAGCGAAGGATCCAAAACATGACTGCGACACCTCCGGCAAGCTCAATACTAGTTACTACCACCGTAGCCGTCTGTTGCCGGAAAAAGCCGAGGGGTCATGTGTTGGTTACCTCGCTAGTTACCCTTCAAAATTAAGAGCATCTTCAAGGGACGAAGATCTTTCATACTCAGGAGCTCTGACATGTCATTCAGATCTCCTCTTTTCCTCCGTGGCGTTCCTTACCACACACATACATATATATGTAAGGTGAAATTTGATCTCCTACGAACAACCCCATGGACCCAATATTCAGAACAGACTCGTACGCTTTCATCGTGGCTATCCGTTTTGTCAGTTTTATGCTAATACACTCATCATCTTCAGAACAGCCATGCTGGTCTCTTCATGGTTCAATTTTCTGCTATACGCAGCAGAAATTAACCTGAGCGTTTACTATTTCATGAAAACCAAGCCCCGTCGATTTTACAAATGGAGTTTGATACTGGCATTGGCTTTCGACACTAGCTGCACAGCGGTGAGCTGCTATAACGTGTATCTGGTACGTTACAGCATTCTTCGACTCTTGAGATTGACCAAATGTCGATATTGTTAAGTAGTACATGATTATCTTTGGAGGTTTGACAATACAACCGGCATTTCAAGTCTTCCAGCTGAGAATTTTCCAAAGGTGTTCCTCCACTCCGTCCGATATGGCCGGCTGGTACCTCGATCATCCTGACTTTTGCCACGAGCACGATCTGCCAGGTGTTCTTTCTTCATCGGTTTTACACGGTGTAAGTAAAAGTGATGGCTCGGCTCTCGGGACTCTGTCTCAGAAAATTCGTAGATCGAAAAACCGGATAGTCGCGGCTATTTTGGCGATTTTTATCGTGTTCCATGTGCATGGTACTTCTCGCTATCTTCGTTTTCCAGAGACTGATGGGTCTCTTCTAGGAATCAATTGGCACCATAGCCGCTATCTGGCAGATTGTGGATACATCGATCCCTGGTTCTGATTTCCGTGTCACTGGAGTCATGTGAGTCTAATTGTATAACGTCCTATCTTTCTGACCCTCGGCCAGCATTGCCGGAGCATCCTCAGCAGCTGCAGATATCATTATAGCTGTTGTGCTGTTTATTAGTCTCTGGCGTATCTCGACTGCATACACGAGAACCAAGAAGTACGTCGTTATCTTGATATTCTCGACTCGGATGCAGTGCGCTGATTATGTTCATAGTACTTTCAAACGCATTTCTATTCATGCTGCTGCTTGTGGCTTAATATCTGCAACCGCGACCGTGGTGGACCTTGTTCTTTTATTCAAAAACTATACAGGTAATTCCTCATTGGAAATGGATCCGAAAAGATGGACCAATTAATCCGATTCCAGGCTTTCTAGTGATATTCACAATTCTCGGTCGACTGTACACGTTGACTCTGCTCGCCAACCTTTTACTTCTCAAACGTCTGGCTAAAAACGAGACTACAATATACACCACAGACCCAACATTACGTCAAAACACTATGACTGTTGACAGAGCTACTGAGTCGATTGCATTCAGTACCCGCATAAGCGGAGATGCGAATGGTACATGTATGTTTCTCGTTGTTCTTCATTCACATATACTCAGCTAGCTTCTCGACTGCCCAGGTGATCGAAGCTTCACGATACCTATAGAGCTATCAATGCAATACTCTATAACAGAAGAGGGTCATTCGACGCAAGCCTCTCAGACATCCAACTTTGATCATCATATAAAACCGTGCTCGTCACCTGTAGCACCCAAACCCAACATCGAATTAACGGTTTCACAGATTACGCATGAAGTATGATCGGCCTTCCAAGCATCCATTCGTTCGATACCTGATGGTAAATATTCAAATGCGGACATTCGTGGGCTTCAGCCCGGCTACTTGCCATATCTTATGAACAAATTTTGTTATTCGAGCTTCAAGTTGAAAGAGTCAGACCGTCTCTCGACAGTGTAGCCCATATCATGTGTAAGAGCCTGCTTAGCAAAAAGTAGCGGCGCGTTTATTTTGTACTTTGTAGAATGTATTAGTAACAATTGACCAAACTAATAATTCCATTCCCGCACATACCAGACCTTTTTCGTTACATGGTCTAACATTGTGACAGCATGCTTAGGCGTCAAACTCTCTTACCAACCGCTCATAGATCGCCTCGGAGACGCGCTCTTTGTTGGGCGCAGGGATTAGAATCGAATCAAGGCATCGAGGACGGGGTTTTTGCGCTCTGCTCCTAGCTCGAATTCTATCTGACTCCTCTAGATTGGTGCCCAACGCTATGGCCTCAGAAATCCCTCTCCTAGCAACACATCTACTCCAATGCTCATCCATTTTGTCGTCCCTCCCTTTCTCCACGACGAGCCTAGACCAAGCCTCCACTTTCAACCTTTTCCCCTCAAACTCTGACCCAAAACCTCTTCTGGATTACGCACCCACTCTAGTTCTCAGACTAGGACTCTGTACCTTTGTTTCCTCCCGAAATCAGCACAAAGTTGGGCCCCGATTGTCATGGCAGACGTAATTCACAACACGTTGTCCTTTCCTTCTCTCATGAGGATTATACGGGATCGAGTCGAGTCAGGGTCTTCCCCTTTAGTCGCGGACGCGAGAAAGAAGAACAGAAGGCTTTGTACCCAACGATCCTGGTAGAATATAAACAACGTAATCTGGAGGGGAGTTGTTTGGGGGACTCCGTAAATGA